ACATGTATGTACACCTATGTTGTAATATCTGTGTACATGTATGTACACCTATGTTGTAATATCTGTGTACATGTATGTACACCTATGCTGTAATATCTGTGAACATGTATGTACACCTATGTTGTAATATCTGTGTASATGTATGTACACCTATGTTGTATCTGTGAACATGTATGTACACCTATGTTGTAATATCTGTGAACATGTATGTACACCTATGTTGTAATATCTGTGAACATGTATGTACACCTATGCTGTAATATCTGTGTGCATGTCTATCTGAGAAAAAAACTTTTATATTGAGATTTAAGAACATGCATGAGTGGAGGTGTAGTATTACCTTTAGGTGTATCTGTGTCATGGTATCCCTTATGATGTAATCACGTCTGATTGACAGCACCAAAAAGGGACATGTGGCTGCCTTTACAGCATCATTAAACTTGTTGCTCTTTTCAGCTCTGTCAAATATTTTCTGTGCTTGTTGTACTCTTGCTTGATGCACTATTGCATTTTGATACTCAGCACGCATTTGCCAAACTGCATCAATGTGCATAACACGCACCTGCAATTGGGAAAAGATACAAGAGCAGATAAGGGAACTTTGCTTTGTTTTAGACAGTATGTAATGATATAAATTATGTTTACCTTTGAAGCAGGATCAAATAGGAAAGGAAATTCTAGTAAAGACATTTCATCCTCACAAACATCTGAATTGCTAGAGAAAGAAAACACATTAATACTTAGAATCACAAAGAATAATGTTTATTATTAAATAAATAACAATATTCTTATACATGAGAAGTAAGGAAAATCATTTGGATGAATAAAATTACAATTATTTTTTAAATGCTGCCTATTGAAACAATGATGACACTACTTAATCCTATGTGAGCTCTAATATTATTATTTTCAATATTATTGATCAGAAAAATAGTGAATCCATGTCAATCCGACAGTTTGAGATACATTGAAATGATTACAGTTCCGAGGACAGAAAACATCGTTTAGGAAACCCAAATTTTGAATTAAGAAACGAGTCATAGTCATGTATGTAATGACTATTACATGACTATGACTTTGAATTAAAGTCGAAATATTGTATTCGCTCTTCARACTCGTTTCTTAATCCAAAATTTGGGTTTCCTAAACAATGTTTTCTTTCCTTAGAAATAGTGAACACGCTTTCTTATCTGTCATTCAAGTGATTCAACAACATACGTAATTATGCAGGGAAATCATCAATTTAAAATTATCAAATAAAAAGATTATAGTGGAAGATAACGGTGAACATAACGTATAGTGTAAGATGACTGTGTGTATCTGTAAAATGGTTTTTATTCAAGACTCAAATGAACAAATGCAAGGTTGTGTTGATATGGTTACCTTTTGATTGCTTGCCATGCTTCATATTCTTTCTTGAAGTCCACTTTCTTGGACAGATCATCAGAATAGAACAATGACTCTGACAAGTCGTGATGGGGATTTGACAACTCACTTGTAGCTGTTTGAAATGCATCATGAAATATGGCCATTACCTTACAGATTTCAATCAAATGAGGCTCTGTAGTTTGACTTGGATGAATATGTTTCCCAAAGAACGTGTGAAAAACCTGGATAACAAAAATGATTAGACAGCATACGTTATAAATATGGGAAATTGAAAGAAGAGAAATGTTAGTACTGATCCCAAAGACGTACAGTGAGCACCAACATATTGAATAATAATTTTTAGCGATTTCTCTCAGTTTAATGTTTGTTTTAAGTTCCTTTTTTATTATGTTTTCAAGAGATATTGAGGCACTTGCTTATGTTTGATCCTGTGGAGTTTTCATGCCATGATAAACAGGGACATATGACCCATGAAAATATGGTTGAATTTTTGCCTTTATTGAGATGTATCACTAGTAAACTAATATCTTTACCTGAATAAGACAGTTAAACCCATGACTGCTGTACCGAGACAAAATCAACACCAAAGCAGACCTTGTGTCTTGAGGTAATTTATTGAGAACTGAGCAAAGTTTACGCAATAATTCCTGTCTTGTATGGAGAAGAGGGTTCTCCATTAATATCACCAACTGATACACCTCGTCGGGGTTGACTAGCAAAGAATCAAGTGTCACTAGGTGAATCTCTACGGCATTGAGTAATGGACCAACAAATGCCTCTTTTGGTTGTAAGCTGAGAAGAAGAGAGTATGCTGTACGTACTGCATCTACATCAAGATCATTAAACTTGAGATTGTTGTTAATGTGATCTTCTAATCTAAAGCTCTCATTCAATGCTTCTACTGATGTAAACACCGTCCTTATTGTATTAATAAGAAAAGCTGGATCTTTGCATTCATTATACTTGTCAATGGATGACTGCAACATGTCAAGAGTTAAATGAGTCAAGGAAAATTCTTGTACATAACCAGACATTTCCAATGCACAATCAGCTTCAAACTGCTCAAGAGAGACTAATTCATTAAGTGATGTAGTGGAACCATGTAATTCCCAYGGTAAGTCTCCAAACTCTTGCTCTTTCACCAAGTTCCCTGATAAATTGACCTTTGAAAACTCTACATCAAGATTGAAAGAGTTGCTTGCTAAAGGGCTTTTATTGTCTGTTTTTAGACTACTGCTTGAAGCCAATTGCTTGTTACTAAGACAATCCTGACCATCTTCAAGTTCTTTCAATTGACTTGAGAGTAAGTCTGGGTGGCTTTGTATTCTCAGACTTGATCGTGACAGTGATTTCTCCTTTGATAAGTGATTTAAGTTAGTAAGAGATCCCTTGAGTGTTACATGACTGCTAGAGCGGGACAGATTTGACAGTACACTGAATTCAAATAGTGACTGAAATGGGGTAGTGGAGAAGAGACAGTGCAAAAATGGTTTTGGTTCATCTGGATTGCCATCAAATAAACCAGCTGGTAATGGCTTATTTGTCTCCTCCACACAGAAATACTGTCGATTACGAGAGGCAAGCTCAATACTCACAATGGCTGCTAATTGAGGGGTAAATTTTGAACCTAATTCGCCAGACCTGCAAAATCTATTAGTACACTGTTCGTAGCCGCAGCCCATTGTCAACTGCAAGTAATACCTCTTAACAATGAGTTCAAAATGCCTTTTCACATATGAATTGGCAGAGTTCGGTTGATCATAGCTTCGTGGCAGTACGGCCTCCTTTATAGAAAGGTTAGAGTCGGACACTGCTGCCAGATTACTGGCGCTCAGAGTCTTTCCTGTAGCAGCGAGCGACTGAACGTTCAATTGAGCAAGGCTGACTGATCTTTGCGAACTGTCAAGAGACAGATTATTCAATGAACCTGAAACATTGTCCCTTCGCAGTCTGGGTTGACTAGAATGTCTTGTTAGCTTGTTAAAACGTGCCAAAGACTCGCCAGAGTGAAGGGAATGTCTCTTAGTTCGAGGAAAAGGTTTTGGCGGTTTACCGGCAATTTGAAGCAAATTCGAGTTCGTTCCAACAGGTCCTCTTTCTACCTCCATTTCAGTTGTTTTACGAAGCGAAGATCCCTACAATGATATCCCTGTATTTCAATATTTCAAGAAATACAGTTTCTTGCTGGAGAACATCTGTATGTTGTCCTCTGAATGTTCTTTTTTTACTTTTATGAGTTCGAGAACAAAAACGCCGCCATTTTGTTGTCGTGACAACGGTGACGGTGGTCAGAGGAAACCCAACAAAATCAGTTTTCCATATAAGGGATATTACGTACATCACAAAAATTACTGCAGAAAAATAAGAAATCAAAAATAGCAAGACAAAATCCCTTTATTCAGTAGATTAACAATAAAGGTAAATGCAAATTTGATCATAACAACTATAAGAGAGACGGTTCGATGATAATGAGTTTTGCTTTTAAAGAATTGTTTCCGGTTGAATGACGTCATTTTTTGTACCCAGTCTACTTCCTCTTATGTCCAAATAAGGTAACTGTCTACGCGGCGTAGATTTACATAAAATGGGCAAAATATACTGCAGTTGAACTTTGTAAAATCTGTGATTATGGCTAATGTGGTGAGTATTTCATGTTTAAATTGCTCTCAAGTTCTTTTCTTTATATATGAATTCATTTTTGTATTCATTTGTTGATTTATGAACTTAAGAATGTGGTAGGACAACATTTGCAATTCCAAACCATTTTTTATTACCAATATTGGCCGATGTTTTGTTGTACATGTATTTCAGAACGACATGGAGAGTGTATCTCTTTTTGACGGTGATTTGTTGACTGACATTGACTATAGTAAAGGCAAATGTAATTTAAATGAATATGGTATCTCGCCGGCCAACCCAGGGGAAGATCTATGTATGAGACCCCTGTGTACAGATGACTTTGATAAAGGTAAGTTATGCATGACTGCAAGGCTATAAAACTATTATCATTGATGCTATCAGTAGACGGAGAAGTACAATCTTGGTGAAAAAGAAGTATTGTATTATCATGTGTCTGTAGATCGTCAGCAAGATTGTAAAGATATGAATATGTAGACTGCATAGCACTAGGAAATACATGAAATAGAAGGAATAGAAAGTTGTAGTGCTAGAAAGGAGGTTATTCTGGATGAAAACACACTTGGAAATAAAAGAGAAAAAAATTTTCCAACCTTGCTGGGACTCAAACTCTCACCCTTTGGAATTGTACAATCAATGCTCTACCAGCTGAGATACAAGGTCAAACTGGTAGTAGAGTGGGGTGAAATAGATGCACCRGTTATTGAAATGCAAAGTTTTATAATCTTTGTGAATGATCATGGGGCACATGATAATACAATGATGAGTATAGTGATGTTTGATATTGATCAATATGATAATGATGATAATAATTTTTGGATGATTATATGTTATATAATTCATAAATATTGATGTATTATATATATGATATCAAAGATTTTGCTGTAACTCCGAGTTTCATGCTATGCACTCATCAGACAGTAATCAGAAATACTGTCTGATGAGTGCATAGCACGAAACTCGGAGTTACAGCAAAATCTTGACTCTTTGATATCATATATATAACTAGCTCTACACTTTATGTGTATTGAGCACTCTTTAATGGGATCAGCCACTTCCTCATACGATTAAATATTGATGTATAATATTTCTAGAAATGAACTGGTTGATTCCTTTCATAGTGCAATCACTAAAACTACTGTTGATGTTTTTTTTAGATTTTATAGAGCTTTTATCACAGCTTACTAAAGTGGGAGATATAACAAGGGAGAAATTTTTAAGTAAGTAACTTAATTAATGAGCATTGAATGACATATGACATACAAATCAGCAATTTTAACCAGCCAAGTACTACAGGTCTGAACATTTAAAGTAAAGTTGAATTAGGTGTATAAGCACAGGCCAAATGATAATTATAAGTGTGACAGTTATTATTCCCTTTCAGAGCGTTTTCATGGTATGTTGGCTAATGAAGGAACCTATTACATCATCGTTGTTGAGAATCTCAAACTAAGGAAATTGGTAGCATGTGGATCACTGATAGTAGAACAAAAGTTCATCCATGACACTGCTGTAGTAAGTATTGTATAAGTATATATATATTTTGAAAGGTTTTCTAAGAGTGCGAGTGAGAACAACAGGTTTAATATGAAAAAAAATATGTTACACTGGCTCCATGATCAACAGGACATAGTGACAATGTTGGCCAGAGTTTCTTTGACCACTTATAATTATTCAAAATAGGAGGATTTGGGTTACCTGTGGTCTCAAAGTTTTACGCGCCGTTTACACGAGCAATTTTTCCTTGACAAGTTTTCCTTGACAAGGAAAAATTGCTCGTGTAAATGGGGTAAAATTTACAATTTTTCCTTGTCAAGGAAAAGCCAACATGTTCACTTTTCCTTGACAAGGAAAAATTGTCAAGGACGAAATTTGCTCGTATAAATGGATGACAAGGAAAATGTGGCAAGGAAAAATTGTCAAGTAAAACTTGTTGACCAATCACACAGGCAATTTTTCCTTGTCAAGGAAAACTCGTTCTTCGTTTACATGAGCAAAGAAATATTGTCAAAGAGGAATTGTCAAGGAAAACTTGTTGACCATTTACAAGGAGAATTTTTCCTTGTCAAGGAAAAATTGCTCATGTAAATGGCACTCTACATGATACACTTTTGATAGACTCAACTATTTACTAAAAAAACAACTATTTTTGTTGTTTGCCATCAATAGTTTATTATTGTATTGATCAATAATTTTCAATTTTGACTCCCATACTGCTATTTCTTTCCTGCCACAAATTAAAATGTGTAAATAGCATTAATGGCAAAATTCATTAAAACTAAACTTAACTTTATCATTCTTTTTTTAAGAGGGGTAGAATAGAAGATATTGTCGTTGATGACAGCATCAGAGGTCAACGGATTGGAAAACTGTATGTTATGTTACTTTAATAATAAACAGCTTCATTCAGACATTATTTTAAATGAGAGAATGTTGTTTTTCATTTCTAGTATTGTAGAGACATTGCTGCTTCTTAGTGAGAAGTTAGGCTGTTATAAAACAAGTTTAGAATGTAGAGATCCACTTCTACCGTTCTACTCCAAGTTTGGATTTGTTGCTGAATCCCAACAGAATCATCTATGTAAGAGGTTCTTTCATTAAATTGGGGCTTACTTAGTTACCCGATATGGTTGCTAGGGGTATTATAGTTGATATTTATTTCAAGTTGAAACAATAGTTGGCAGTGGCTGTAATGACAGTATAGCCGTAGCCAGTGTGCAGGCAGATATTTTCCCTGTCTGCAGCTTTATATTCAGGGTGATCAGCAGCCTGCTTGTTTTGAAATTATTCAGAGGCAGCCTTTCTGCTTAGTAAATTAAATGAATACTGTGTATCTCATAATAAAAGTATCAATTACAACATAGATTTGAAATATTAGAAAGTTTAACTGAAAGGAATTTGTTGTTCTTGATTTTAGCTACTATTTGCATTGTTACTTTATTGTCCGTGAATCCAATTTTTTGATTATGGAAATACAAGCTAAAATTAGGAACAGATTCCTGTCGTCACAAACATGTGGTGGTGGTGATGACATGATTGGTCAACCAACACAAGAGATAGTACTACAAAGTAACTACTTCCCTGCAATCACTAGTGCAAGTACTATAAACTACTTCTCTGCAATCACTAGTGCAAGTACTATAAACTACTTCCCTGCAATCACTAGTGCAAGTTTTTTAATCAAGACATTGAAGATGCTCTGATGTTGATTTCATTGAAAGCATATTTCATGATTACAGTACTTGACTGTCACCAAGTATTTTATTGCTTTTTAAGACCCACATGGATCCAAGAAAACTTGTAATCATTTCTTCTGTTTTACATGATCTCTTGCTGAGAGCTGCTTCTGATTGGTTCAAAATAAAGAAAAAAAAGAGAGAAAGTTGTGCTAAGGTTCTTGGATCCATTTGGGCTGTAAGTTGAAAAAATTGAAAAAATAGGATTTTTCCATAATATTTTGTTTGAAAGCAAAATTCATCAAGGCTTCCAAACAGAAGTGGTTTCCTTGAATGTTTAGACAATCCCTATTATTCTTGAAATCAGATACAGATTCCAAGCTAATTTTAATATTTTAGTGTATAATATAACTCTGATAGTCTATTCACTAACTAGTGCTAGCAATGGTTGAACCATGTGATTGAAAAAAATAATAATTAAACAAAATGTCAAATTTGCTGATCTCAAGATATGAAATTGCCTGCTCAGGTTGACAGATCATACTTTATTGTATGGGGGATGGAAAGGTGTACTCATTATGAACAAAATTATAGTTTTATTTACACTAATTATTATACATGCATTATTGTGAGTTATTTATGTAACAATGCACTTAGTAAACTATAGCCATTTTAATTTGGGTTGAGTTGCTGTCATTCAAGTTGTATGTGGCCAGTCAAAATCCTAACTTTCTATCATGACTCAGAATTCTTCCTTAGATCTCAATGCCATTCTGAAAGGCTGGTAATGATAGATATATTTATTCGGTTCATTTATTCTTGCACAATATTCAAACTAAACAGGCTCACTGATCATCTTACTTGGATGCTTAGTTACCATTCCATATAAGAGTTAGCAGAAGAAGTAGGTACATGTAGGTGAAGTCAGAAATGGTTTGAATAAATCATTGGTCTATTCAGATTTGAATTCATTACACTTAATCTTTAAGTGAAAATATAAAACCATGGCAATTATGAATAAATAAAACACTTCTAGCAAAGGTGTGTGTACTTAACTAGTTTTCATCATGTGATATCTATTTTGAATTCAATACAGTAAATGCCTTTGAAACATTGTCTACTAATAAAATATCCCTCATCTTTGTCCATTCATCAGAGATCCTTTACAATGCTCACATTTTGTAACATCATTCTAATGTTTTGTTGGTAAGTTCTGTAATGTAAAAGTTTATGCCAAGAATCTGATGCTCATCTTGGCATTGAGGTCAACATCCTTCATCACCTAATAAGAAAACCAGTTGATTTAATAAACTTATAAACATTTTTCTTAATTTTTTTTCTAAACTACTTGCAGATGATTATGCAGCAAATATTATCTCTTTCTCTCTTCTTCTTCCTTTCTTTCTCCTTTCTTCCTTTTTTTAAAATTTGAATGACAGAAATCACCTTTTTAAGAACATCAAAACAAATAGCTTCTCCATTTTCACAACCTGCATCTGTAAGAGCTCTTTCTGCTATGGCACCTAGTTGTTCATCACTGATACTAACACCAACCATCATATGCAGAATCTGAAATTACACCAAAATGTTATTGTGTGACAAAAGAAGTATTGTTAAATAATAAGATTTGCTTCTTCTATGTAATTTTTTTGTAATTTCCCAGCTTTCTGATAACTTGTCGATCATCAGGATTTTGTTTACATTTGTATCCTTGCACACACATTGTAATTTCATTTTGCCATAATGATGGACAAGTTGTCCAAAAGCTCAGAAATTAAAAATCTTATGCAGAAGAGGCAAATCTTAGTATTAATAAAACCAATGATTCCTACGTACTATAAAATTTTAACAAAAGAAATATTATAAAAAATTATTTAACTAAGGAGAATTTTACAATTTTGTTACAATATCAGGAATATTATAGAAGGGATGGTCAAATAATAAATTTGTACAAAATATAACTTAGCCAGATTTTTAATTCTTGCATACACAAAGTTTGAAATTGACATTAAGAACTGAAGAGGCCAGGAAGGCAAAAGGTTTTCATGATTTTTCATGAGTTAGATTTGGCATTCTTTGACAGACTCGATACATGTATGTAGCAAAGGTTTTTGTAATAAGGATATACAGCATAGAATAATGTCGAAATTTGTACAGTAATTACATTTATTTTCTTTTTTGTGGGTTGTTGGACTGAGACCTGTAGTTGACGTGAAAAAAATCAACAATGATGATAAAATACTTACTGACAAAAGGTCATCCTTAGAGACTTTCCCATCACTGTCAATATCATAAATTCTAAAAGTAACTGAATAAAAAGCCCATGAATTAAAGTAGTGCATTAACAAATATTATTTACACATAATAAAAMAATATAAAATGAACTGATTAGTCATGGTCTACAGTCATTTTTTACAAACTGGCAGAATTGAGCTATGTATCACTTGATGATGTGATTTCTTGCTTTTCCATTAGTGATTACAAAGAACTGAACTCACACTTTAATTTTTCATCTCTAGAATTGAGCAGGTTTGGCGTATTTGGGTCGTATGGTCTGAAGTGTGCCAAAGTCTTTACAAATTGTTTGAAATTACACTCTACAAATTCATCCCTAGAAAAAATCACATACAACTATTAGTATTACGACAGACATCACATACACCTATTAGTATTACGACAGACATCACATACACCTATCAGTATTACGACAGACATCACATACACCTATCAGTATTACGACAGACATGACATACACCTATCAGTATTACGACAGACATGACATACACCTATCAGTATTACGACAGACATGACATACACCTATCAGTATTACGACAGACATGACATACACCTATCAGTATTACGACAGACATC